GATGAGTGAAAGAATATATGAATGAAAGGCTTCTGTTAGCATGGTCAAGAGTTCATACCATCTTGTGTTTCTTCTCTCTCTCTACCACCCTCCACATTTACCTCCATTTTGACACATACCTCTTGTTTTCACATGGATAGCACATATAAGATCAATAACTTCAGGGATGTTTTCCGTCTGCTTGCAGCTGAATCCCCTGCATAGCTCCCCTAATGGAAAATTAGTGACTCAAAATTACTGCTACTGAAGTCATCCATTGAAGCTGTTTGACTCCTCTGTTGGGACAAAACCTGGTGTCATTATGTTAGAAATTCTTTGTTCTGCATAGAGTTTCTATCTGAGAATTTCTCATGTTCATTTTATATTAAAGAGACTTTTTAATAGAACCTCTAACCTACTCTATCAGAAGAAAAATACGTTATTATCACAACCTTTATGATACCTTTACAAGCTCTTTGGGACTCTAACATGTGAGTAGCCTGCAAAACACTCAGAATTCTTTTTTGAAAGTGTCAGATGAGAAAACTAAGCAGTGGCTCTAGAAGCCAAACGACAAGCCTCATACTTTCAGAATAGGTCTCATTGGCCCTTGAATTGAAGCCCTTGAACTCAGAAATAATTCATTTTTTGTCCTTGTTACTCTGAATCTGATCAGTGAAACCTGCAGCCATTATGTAACTATCTTTCCTTCTTTCCTTTCTCTTGTTGTTAAAGGACTGTTTACATTTTCACTGAAAGTAGAATGAAAAGTGACTCCTTACCCTGGAAAAGAATAGGCTATATACGTATTTCTCTTCCTCTTCTTGCCTTTTTAGATGAGAATCAGGGTGCCAGATGCTCTACAAGCCAGACATAAGTTACTGACTTGTATTTAACTCATCCTGTGAAAAAAATGTTCTTGCAGGATCAAAACAACTTCCTTCAGGCAGCAGAAGAAATTTGTATATGAATCTAACTGTTAGATGAATTAAGATGCAGAGATCCCGAGGAACAAAGAACCCTCACAGAGATATGTTGTGATACATTTAAAGAGGTTTTTCTCCCTAAATTATACATTTTCTTTTAAAGATTATACTTTCTTGTTAAATATGAGCATCTGTTCTTCCCCCCAAGAATGAAGAAAAGAGCAAGGTGTTGCCCTCTCCCCAGTGAGGTTGCTAGTCCAGGAGTGATGCAGTGTAAGAAACCTGATTAGGACACACTATTTTTATTTACTGATATGTCACCTCTTTTAAGGGCAGATCGCTTGACTAAGAAGAAATTCTGAGCTCTAGTCCCAACTGATCAGTAATTCACTGGATATGACTTCGGAAATTTCATTTAAATTCCTTCAGCCTTGATTTTCAAATGTTGAAGTCAGCATAAAAAATCTTTAAGGTTTACTTCTCTTTTATTTTGATGTGATGGTATGTTGAGTAAAGATCTATTTTCGTTCCTGCCCAGAATTCATCCATTCTTCTTCTGATCCCCATATCCAATTTTCCACTGGAGACACACCCCTCATTTTACTTTCACCACTTTCTGCTAGGGTCGTTCACTCCACCCCTTGCATCAGGGGTAGACATCTATTTGAGCAGCATATTCTCTGATTTACACGGATTGTTCAGTGATGACAGATACAAGATGCAGCCAGAGTAAATGAGAGCAAGGAGGGGTTTGCTGGGAATTCTGAGCAAGATTTCCTTGCCTTTTCTATGGGACTTGAGGCTGAGAATTTGTAAAATCAATGGTGATCTTTAGACCATGGTGGGGTGAGACTGGAGTCTCCAGGGCTACTGCATGAAACCAGAAAGTGAATCCAGCAAAGTAGAGGAGAGACTCAAGGTACACAAAGTAACTCGCGGTGTAACTACTCGAGTTGCTCTATCCAGTCATGCCAGAAGAGAGACTGCTTTGCAAAATCTCAGTTACATCAGCCAACAAATGATTTTGTAAGCTGAAGCCAGAGTATCTGTTAGGATGTTTTCGGATGCAAGAAAAAATATACAGTACTGCAAATGGCTTAAATAATAGATCTAATCTACTGGCTCACATAGCTAGAAAGCACAAAGGAAGGGAGAGCTTTCGCTTTGCTTCACTTAGGTAGTCAGTGATGCCAGCAAGACCCGTTTCTTCTTGATTTCTCTTACCAATGTACAAAATAACTGCTCCGTATGAAGACTGGCTTTGTCACAGTGGTAAGATGGCCAGTTATAATCTGATTTACATGTTTCCTTATCTAAGGGAAGAGTGATCCTACTTTCTAGTAAGTTTGTCAGAAAAGCATTTCTTTTTGATAAAATGTCACCTTTATGTCCTATTGACCAAATTGTGTGCAGTGCTCATTCTTACACATCCTCTGTGGCCAGAGGCATGCCAAGACTGAGGGACTTAGAAATAGATGTCCTGAAGCAGTAACTGTGGCCTTGTGGTTTAAACAAAACTGAGCTCACCTACCCAGGTGTTGGAGTGAATCAGTCTGTCCTCATTATGTGGGGGATAACTCATGAAGGAGAGATGAAAAAGAGATTCTGGGGAGACAACCACAGTGTCCGCTACAGCCAGGTGGGTATGAGTCTTCTGTTGCTTGCAGTTTCCAGAACACCTATTTGAAAGCTGTCGGGCAAATCTGGTAGAGAAACTAGGAACTTGCTCTTGCTCTATTTTATTTTTCCCTTTCCTGTGACACACAGCTTCTGGGAATCCAGATAATCTATAGAGGAGACAAAGTGGGAAGACTGCATACAGAAGGAAGCTTTCTGGAAAGTGGAATGGAAGCCAAATAGGACAGGAAGAGTTCCTGGAATCCAAAAGCTGAGGTCCATCCTTGGATCTACTGCCTACCTTGTCTTTTACACAGCCAGAATCTTCTGATAGCTCCTGGAAGCTTTGTCAGGGTTTCAAGTAGTCTCAAACCCTAGTAAGACTTGAAAGTAAACTCTTTAATAGAGACGTTAGCATTTGCCTTCAAACACAAATCATCTTCTGTGACACTGCTTTTGTGATGTAGAGTGTCCATAAGGAAACATATTGTCCCAGTTAACCTGAATCCCTGGCCTGAGTCGGCTGGAACAAGGATCCTTTATCCACCCAACAGGAATCTGAACTAAGGGACAAAGATTCTCTTGTTCTTAGAAACTAAAATATAAAGATATCAAGTCAAGAGGCAGCAGGGCTGAAGTCGTCGTGGTAGAGCAGAAATTACAAACTGCATGGACTAAACTTATCTACAGAGAAAAGAATAGACACACACAAAAGGTAAGGAGAATAGATCTTGTGGTACTGGAAGGAGAAAGATGGAAAAAGGGGCCTGTCTGATGACTTTCTTCTTCCCAAGAAATACAGTTGTGCTGAGAATCCCTAAATTCTCAAAGTAACTCCACCCTTACTCTACATGTTTGCTAGAACTCTTAAGCAAAATTGGATGATTTTTTTTCTTTTAATAATGAATAATCTTGGTCTAGATAAGCCTCCTGATGACGAATGCAGAAAGTAAATTTATAGAAGATTGATTCCTCCTGTGACAGTGCTTGTACAGCCCTCAAGGGACAAATAACACTAACAGAGTCACACAGGCCTTGGCTGGGAGAAAGTCATAAAGGCATGCAGAACACAAACACTAGCATTTACTTTGCCTGTAACATTTCATGTGATCTTACTTAATCCTGGTAGCAATCACATGACATATTATTAACCTTATTTTCTTAGTTTCTCACAGACGAGAAACTAAGACTCAGAGACGCTTAAGAACTTTGCACAGAGGAGAGTAGTGGTAAGGATTTCCTCCATAACATGGAAGGAAAACGACTCTATGTCTATTTCTTTCTCTGCCTTCTATAATAATGACTAGGAATCTCCCTATCTATGTATCTTTGTCAAACTAGAAACACTGTGTCATCTTATTATTCATACAGGTAGTATACAGCACTGCAGGTGTAGGAAATAGCAAGTGTGTGATAGTGGGTATTCTGAGAAAACTACGTAAAATTCTATTTCCAGAATGGAGGGTTCAAAATAAGGAGTGGTTATAGATGGAGCCAGAAAGGTAGGGAGGGGCTCAGTTCTTGGATTTCCTTCTGTGAGATTCTCATGTGCTTAGGTTTCCCTGTAGGTGATAAAACTCACTCAAGAATTTACCGAAAGGAGAAATCACCCTTAAAAGAGTGAGTGTGTTTTTGTTGGAGCTACAAAAACCACATAAAACATGATCATACACATATACGGGAAGAGAGACAAACAGACTGCCCTGGAATTTTAAGACAAGACAAGAGAAAGGTAAAATAATGCCAGACTATCTCTATCCACTGTCCTGTACTTTGATACACACAGACATTGGGGTATAAGCCTATACCTGTGTGATAACACTGCAGTCTTCACAAGTGAACCCATGCCCTTTTTCCCCTAGATAAATATTTTATATAATTGCAATGTATTTCCTAGCAAGTTTACAAAATGAGATTGCTTAGAGAACAAGGGTCCACTTGATGAGCACATATGAAAATGTCTTGCTCCCAAGACCCAGGTAACCTGGGCATTCAATCCCCATCTAGTCTGCAAGCTGATTCCTTGGACTCTGCCTCTCTAGACACTTGCCAGTGTATAGATGGATGGTGTTAATTTCAGATGGGAAAGTCTATTAATGCCGTCCTGGACTCTGCAAACAAGGTCAGACATTTGTAAGAGCTGTAGCCCTCCAGGAAAACATGTGCCTGTTTATTTTGTCTGGTGTATTCTTTTGTATTCTGTCCAGAGATTTCTTCTAAAAAATTTATACGTATCAGGAAATATGATAAATATTCCCATGTCTAAATTTTCTGATTCTCAGCAACTGAAAAAGCATAGGGCTTCCTTGATTTGATTAGAGAGCAGGCTGCCATCAGGCTGGAAAGTGTCAGCTGTCTGGACTAGAGCTGAAATCAATGTACTTTCAGGACGATTGGTCAGAGTGGCATTTTAGGTTTTTTAAGAAGCTCTCATTCCAATAAAAATTGTGAAATGGATGGCACATCTTTGAACACCTCCAAATTCTTTACACTCCTTCCTGCCCTGTGATGCTTCTCTCCCCCTCATGTTTTTATCTTCTTGTGTAACTGAAGGTTGCCTGACCTACCATCATCTTATGAAGATCAATCGATATTTCTTAAGTAGAAATTAGGCACAAAACAGTTCTAGTTACTGTAGGAAAATAAGGTCACTGCCCTTAAGAGCTTTTAATTTAGATGAGGAGACAAGACATTTACAAAAAAAAAAAGAAAGAAAGAAAAAAAGGTGTAATAACAACAGAAGGTACAAAGCTCCAGTTGGGTAGCTGCTTGGTAGTTTGGTTTCTGCTCACAGTTTTTAAGATATCGAGTAGGAGATGCCAAAGTAGAGCAGTCAAAATGTATAGCCAGCATTGTCTGCCGTAATCCCACTGTCACCCACATGGAAACTGATGGAGAGAAGATTCAGAAGTTTACTCCCAGGCATTGAGCTTGGATGACAGAGTCAATTATTGCATTCTTCACAGAGTTGGGAAGTAAACGAGAGAGAGATTTCTGTAGGAAAATGAATCTCTAGAAGCACCGCTCAGATGACATTTCTCACGCGCCTACTCTAAAAAGGCCCACGACTTCCTGATGGCTGCTTATTGAGTTTGGTAGAGCAAAACTACCACCACAGCAGCCATCATGCTAGGGAGTGGGGACACAAGATTTAATAACTCATACTCTGCCCTGGAACGCAGCACAAGTAGAAGAAAGCCGAGAGGTGGAAGAATTCCTTGTGGAAAAGAATATGATGGATCAAGGAAAGGTGACTTTTCATGAAGCAAACACATCAGCCTTCAGGAGCAGCATCAGTGGAGAAAACTTACCAAATGAGAGCAGCTGCAGGTATGCAGGCTTCTGTGGCTCTTCGCATGCTATGATAGCACACCAAAGTCTGGGTATCTGACTCCTAGGGAGGGACCCTGGTCATTGGTCTGGGGGGCCTTCTAAGCTCCATGACTGGGGAAGTGCCAGCCTTCCCATGGCACTGAGGCAGGAGAGAAGAGGGCGGGGCACAGCTGTTGAATGAATGACACAGCAGTTGAGGACAGGACAAACTGGTTAGAACCAAGATGGCAGAAGGTTTGACTACCAGCAGACCTTGAGCTTATATGCTCACCGTAATACTTTAGCATGCTAAATGACACATCCACAGGTGCCATGGCAGTTCCCAGGCTGATGGTAAAAGGCCAAAAAGTAGGCAGGACCCCAATTCCTGGAAATCCCTGCCCCTTCCCCGAAACAACTGAAGTAATCCCCTACTTGTTAGCATATGAAATTACATGGCCCATAAAAACTAACCATCCCCATGCCTTAGGGCTGCTCTCCCTTCTGAGTGAGACAGACCACATTCTGTCTGTGGAGTGTGTATCTCCCTGAATAAATTTGCTTTCACTTTACTATGCCTCACACTTAAATTCTTTCCTGGGTGAGGTAAGAACCTATTCTCAGGTAACAGCAGGATCAAGGACTGAGATCCAAAGACAGTGTGATATGGTGGAACCTTGGCTCCAAGCTTTGTCAATATCTAAGTGCTCACTGACTGAGAACACCCTCCTCTAGGGTGATCGGGACAAGGAGGGCGGAGCTTTGAGAATACAGCTGTCGGTTGAGAACTGTTCCATCACCCCAGTACTCATGCTTGTGGAAGTTTTAGTCCCTCCACTGGTATCATCAGGGACTGGGGTTCAAGCCACTGAGCATGTAATGTGGTTACAGCTCTTCACCCTGGCAGGACCAGTGCTCTGAACTGACATTGCCGCCGCCTGCCAGGATTGATTGCCTTTAAGCATTCAGTGTAGCCACTGTCTTTGAAGCCTTGTAGCAGCCAGTCTAGAAAGAATCAGTCTTGTAAAAGTTAACCCTAACCTTCAAATGTTAAAAGAACAGAAATCTGATTTGGAAAATGCTGAATTTAGGAGGTAAGAGAAGGCAGAACCACCCAAGGAGACAGAAAGATTATCTGGAGAAATATAAGATGAATGAGATTGTTCAGGGCCACAGAGGCAAAGAGAGAGAGATGAATTTCAAGTAAAAAGGTATATTTAAAATGCTAAATATTACTGAACTTACTGGGAGAATGAAAATATAAACAAAAGATGTAGGATTTAAAAAGAGAGGGTGATAATTAGCATCTATATTTCACTAGAATTATGCCATCAGAAATCAGAGAAAAGTTGTTAAGAAATGAGGAAGTGATAAGAAAACGAGGAGTGGAAGAAAGCAGAGGCATGATAGGACAATAGCTTGAGATAAGAAGAGACTGAAGCAAAGGCTTTTCTGTTCTAACCCAGAGACACTCAAGCACGTGTGAAAGGAGTGTCTGAGGATGATGGAGGAAGGTAAGGCGGTTAGACAGAACCAGTGTTCTCTGCCAAATGGCTTCTAGTTCTATGTATGAGTTACTGTACGTTGAAATTAAAGAGTATCCATGAGGACTTGTATCAGGTAATTGTTTTCATTTGATTAAGGCTAATTTTATGACTCTGTCCTCTGACTCTTGGGAATATTGCTAATGGTGGCCTTTGAGTCATCCAGCCAAGCTAAGAGAGTCATATTCAGGCTCAGCCATTTTTCTGTCACACTTCACATTTCAACTTCATTCTGCTTGCTCCTCTTCTTACCTTTCAGACAATTCAGTCTCCACAAAACGGTATCCACGTACATCTTTCCTTTCTTCTCCAAGCCTCAGTCACAACAACTGTGGCCAAAGTCAGTGGTGGGCAAAATGGACAGGAAATTCTGTCTTCCTAGGAAATCGTATCTCTAACTTCTGTTAGCTACAAAGGAAAGAACAAGGAAAAAGTGAACTGACACTTTTTTGGTTTTTACTTTCTAGTGGCTCAGCACAATACAAATGTAATTTTACGTTTGTAACACTTTTTGAAGAGTAATATGCAGGTACCAAATGAGGAAAAAGGTACGGAGAGTTTAAGAACACTTTCAAAATCAGAAGAAAGGTAAATGACGATACCAGCACTAAACAACCAGATGTTTCTGCTCTTTTTTTAGTTTTCTAAACTTTTCTGTAGATAGAATGTAGTTGAAAATGGCTCATTTCCAAGATGCAGAACCATCATGTCCCAGAGTTTGTGCATTCTAGCTTGGCTGGATTTTTTTTTCCATTCTAGATACTTCTATTTTGAGACTTGGTGTCCTTCTTCAAGATATGTCTAGGCAGTGTGACAACAATAGCCCAGATAGTTGAATGCCAGCGTCAGTCAAAATAAATAGCCTGGCATCTTGTAGAGACTTTAACCAGTTGAATGACTAGTTTTTCTTCCCTTCACTTTTCAGCTTATCATTCAAACACACACACCCACTCCAAAGATCATTTCACACATTATTAAATTGCATCCTGTTAAGCAGAAAGCGTTAAGGGTGTTTCCTGTTTCCTGATTCAGATCCCTGGTTACATCATTAGAAAAGTTCTCAGCACGTGCCTAGGCCATGGGTCTTCATTAGTTTGTATCTGGGACTCAGGTAACGTTAACTAGAGCCAGTAATAATTATATTTGGAAAACAAGCGTATGGTTGAATTCACGCCATCATTTTTTTCCCCTCAAGATTGAGATGCTGAGTTTTTAAAATACATGACCATTCATCCTGTGTTAGTCCGCCTTGCCAATTTGAAGGTCACAGGCTCCTAGCATGCTAAAGCTGGAACTCGTGAATACAGATGGGACATCCTTTCAGTGGTAGAGATGGAGCTTGCTGGGACCAGATGGGCCTGTATTCATTGTAAAACACATGACAGGGAAGATCATCCACTCTTTGCCCCTCATTCTATTGCTCTAAAGAGCTTTTCCCTATTAACATTAAAATAAGTACTAAAAAAGAAGTGTTGTTCCACAGAGTCCATTTAAGGCTTTTTTTTTAAAGGAAATGTTTATATTACAAGGAGAATCATGATCTGAAAAATTCAATTCAAACATCTGTTCTCTTCAAATGATTACTATGTCCCACCAACTCTACCTCAAAGAAAATCCTTCCAGTTGCCGTGCCAATATAGGCCCTCAACACTTCCTACATGGACTAAAATTACTGCAACAGTTGACTCCCGATTCCCTCAGTCTTCCTCTGTACATGCCTGTCAGCACGTGCCCTTGAGGTTGGCGCCATGCCTGAGAAGGCAGGCCTCTTTCTTGGGCTCACATTTAATCACATGACTAAAATGCTCATTTTCCTTTTTTGCAACTGACAGTTTTCCCATTAATTCTTTAGAAATCAGCTCAAATATTGGGAAGAGAATATTGAAAGATTTTATCTTTGAAGGCATATTAAGAACTCCATTTTAGCGTGTGACCCCAGAAAATATTTTTTCTCTATTTTCTTTTGTGATTTTGTTAACTACTCAGATAATATAGCTATAAACTACTAACTGACTCTAGAGAAAATATTTCTAATACTTGTACCCTTACCAAGTGATTACACACATGCATCTCTGCTTCAGACACATGGACTGCCACGGTCTCTGATGTGCCATGTCCTACAGTGCACCTCGCCATGACTGTGGCATCTTCCTTCCTCTTGTCCACTCAGGGAAACTACTCTAGGGTTTATTGTCTGACAGCGCAGGCAGACTCAGTTAGTTACTCCTTATCTTAGGTACTTACAGACATCATTCATGCCACAGATATTAAAAAAAAAATCCCCCTTAATTTTTAAATTTAAATTTGTTACTCTCTTCTTCGACCTAGGCTTTGGACAGTTATCTTCTGACTTTCATATACTGTGTTAGGAACACCGTTGTCTCATAATAAAATACTTGCATTAAGTAAATCTATAAACCATTATTATTATATTATTGTATAAACTTACAGCAGTTCAAATATCTTAGTGTCATAAGCACTGAACAAAAATTTAAAACATAGCAACAAAGTGTTTTTAAAATTTAAAATTTAGACTTAAAAAAGTGTAAAAGGCAGCATACGTGGCAGTATAAAGGATTTGGACGCATCTTTACCAGGAAGGCCAAAAAGAACATAGAAAGTGAGCACAAATGATACAGTTAAATCTACTGAGGGTAGTGAGGAAATCCTTATCAAAGATAGCAGAAGTTCTTGTTCTAAATTTGCATATATGTGTGTTGTATGTGTGTGTATATATATATATATACACATACACATATGTGCGTGCACACAGTACAGACATCCTTCACTTTTAGTCTTTGGTGTCCACACATGACTCCAATATCATGTTGTCCAAATGCAGGGAGACAGAACTATATGAAAGTTGAATGTCTGGATTTTGGAGTCACACTGGCAATGTTCAGATTTGGCTCTGCCATTTTTGTATATAAGCTTTCTGCTCCAGTTTCCTTATCTGTAAAATGGTAATAGCAATAATAACCACACCAGAGTATATTGCTTGGATTAAGTTAAATAATATATAACCATTATAGCCATTCTTGAAAATGAACAGGATTGAGGGACTCATACTATCTGATTTCAGTACTTCCTATAAAGCTACAAGATGACATTCACATAATGATAGACATCAAAATCAATAGAACAAAATGGACTGGTCAGAAATAGACTCACACTTATACCATCAAATGACTTTTGACAAAGATGACAAGGCAATACAATGGGAATGTATATTAATTTTAATTAATGGTGCTGAATACCTTAATATCTATAAGGAAAACAATGAACCTTGACCCATGCCACATACCATCCACAAAAAATTACCTGAAATTGATCATAGACCTACATAAAAGAGATAGAACTATTACAGACCTAGAGAAGAAAGCATAGAAGAAAATCCTTATGATGCTGAATTAGGAAAAAAAAATTTAAAGGATACAAAAAGTACAAAATATAAGAGAAAAATAATAAATTAGTATTCATCTAAATTAAAGCCCTTTGAAAAATACAGTTAAAAACTGAAAAGGCAAGTCACAGACTTGGAGAAAATGTGTATACAACATACATCTAACCAATGGATCTGCATCTAGAATGTATAAAGGACTCATGTAATATTAAAAAGATAACCAAAAAATTAAAGAAAACAGGCAAAAGATGAACACATTTTTCACAAAGAAATATGAATGGCAAATAGGATATAAACATGTGTTAATCACTACTTTTCACCAGAGAAAAGCAAATTAAACCATAGTAAAAACATTACACACCTATTAGAAAGGCTTAATTTTAAAATACCAAGAGTTGGTATAGGTGTGGAATGACTGAAATTCTCATGCATTGCTGGTAGGAGTGCAAAATGAGACCAGCTATTTCAGTTTTGTATACAGTTGACCACTGAAAAACAAGAGGGTTAGAGGTGCCCACCTTCTGCATAGTCAGTGTCTAAGTTATAGTCAGCCCTCTGTATACCTGTTTCCTCTGTATCTGTGCAACTGCAGCCGTGGATTCAGTCAATCAGGGATAGTCTAGTGCTGTAGTATTTACTATTGGAAAAAAAAAAACCTATTAGTGGATCCACTTAGCTCAGACCATTTTGTTCAATGGTCAACTGTATATATTTGACTCCTGTGTACTTTTCATTTTTCTTTGTCCTTACCTGAACATCAGTTTTGTAAGGGCAGATATTATGATCTTGTTCATTCGTGTTTCCCCATCTCCCAGAATGCTGCTTTGTAAGCCCTACCCTGGGGACCAAGTGAAAAATGTGTTGTCTATTCAAACTCAATTTCTTGAGTTGAGTGAGAGATATGCTTTCTCTCTTTTCTTTCAGCCTGTTCCTTCTTTTTACTGGTTATAGTACAGATCTGACATCTTACCTTGTCTTGCCTTGTCTTTTCTTTTCACTTCCACCATGAAATTTATTCTTGTTTCAAAGTGCAGATCTGATGTCTTGAGCTGAACCAGCTACTTAGAACCACGAGGTAGAACTCATTGGTAAGGATGATGAAGCAATTAAATTGAAAGAGACCAGGTACCTGGTCTCCAAAGCCAACACACCATGATTCACTATGAGACAAAAAAAAAACTTACATCTTGTTCAAACCACTGTTATTTTGGGGTTTCAAGTACAACTGAATTAGCCTTTATGGATGGAAATGTTATATAAACATACCTTATTTGGAGTGATATGTCATATTCAATTTCCTGGGATTTTTTTTTCCTCTAGGATATTTTGATACTCTCTCATGGTCACATTTAATTTCATAGCTGAAGTTACAAGAAGTTCAGCCATACTTACATAGTATAGAGATATATTTTTGGCCAATAAATTTTTTTAAAGATTTATTTTGCCAGCATTAGAAGTCAAGAATTATACATAAAATCTGGCACTTTGGAATCCAAATTCATCACAATAAATGTTAGAGCTGAGTGTAGGTGGAGTAGATGTTCCACAGTTTGTCATAATCTTCACACCTTCCTATTAATCTTTATTAATCATGATAGCTGGTCTGTTTCACTCGTTTACATTATTTGCCTGATCTCTGAAGGCATTTGAATTTATAACCACCAATCTAGGACAGAAGTGTATTGTATGTATTATGGAAAACTCCACATACAGGATGCTCCCATATGTTCTTTCTTATATTCAACCAAAATTTTGAGCTACTACCCTTCTAAATAATGGAAAAGTGATGGTTACCAGGACTGCCAAACCTTACATTTTAGAAGGAGAAAGTAGACAATAGGCAAGTCAACAGATAGTTGTTGTAGATGTAACTAGATACTGTCTGATACTTCTAAGTGTTATGAAGAGAATGAAAGAAGCAAGAGAGTGATTGGTGTTAGGGAGCCGTGTGCTGTAGATAAGATTATCAGCTTAACCTCTCTGAACAGAGGCCGTTTGAACTGGGACCAGAATGATAGCCAGGAGTCAGCTGTTCAAGATCCATGGAAGACTATTTCAGGCAGAGGGAAAGGCAAGAGTAAGTAACCTGCAGTAAAAATGATCTTGAAATGTTTGAGAAGCAGAAAGATGACTGTGATGGCTGTAGTACAGTTGGGGGAGAGTGATATCAGAACAAGCTAGAGAAGTAGATGAGGTTCTTGTTGTCCAAGGCTTTGGACGCCTTAGAATCCCAATTTTCCTGGGGTTATAAAAGTGTCAAAAGGAAATCTTCCTTTTCCTCTATTTTCATGAAATTTCAATTTCTGAAAAAAAAGAAAGAGCCAGAGAGAGGCTGTTGGCTTGTGATAATGGATCTTCAGTAATCTCACAGACTGGTCAATTATCTGAGGTTTAACTAATGGAGAGAAATAGCAGTCACCAAGCGTTAACCATATGGGCAGCAGACTGATAGGTGTACGTATGCTTCTGTTCAGAGTCTTCTTGTCTTCCATGTTGTTTTCTTCCAGAGATGCTGAAAGTCATTCAGTGTATGTGCCTCAGGAAGTAGATGGGTTGATACTTATCTCTTAATTATGCACCCCAAGCAAATTGACTGAAAACTGAAAGTCACAGTAACAAACTCACCGATGTGTCAACAGCTTTGAGAGAAGAACTGAGCAGTCAGTCATTGTCACACAACCAGAAACACACACACATTCAGAAACACATGATACATGTTTTCTGTTAAAACTAAAGTTCACTTATATTGGTTGAAGAGCTCCTTTCTTAAATTGAAATTTTAAACTATTAAGTGTTAGCATTTTTCCAACAAATCAGTAAACTGATGTTGATTTTTGCCTTTGAAAAAAAAAGTGAGTTAAAAAAATTAAATCTTGACATGTACCTCGTGTAGGGAGCCTACGTGTAGGAGAACAGCCATTCTTAATTAAGGAAACACCATGTCACAAACAATCAGAGCTGAGCCCTTTGAAACATTCCCTCACATGCCAGCAGAATATAAAACCACCATCAGATTTTCTGCATTCTGCATAATGTGCTGGTAATTAACCTTATAAACTTATTTTCTGAGCAATTCTCATAGTTGATAAATGCAGTAAAGGGCAAAATCCAACAAGGTTATTGAATAACAATCAGTGCATCCAGAATGAAGAATAACCCACGTTCTTCTGAAATAAGATATGAATAGACTTTACTCTTGTAATTAATGTTGCTGCATTTTGCTTGAAGATGGGATATTTTTCATTTAAAGCCCATGTGTTAATTTTCCTTCATAGATAAGCCAAAAACTTTGACTCCTTTCATCAGACCTTTGGCATCTCCTTCTGTTTCAGTTTTGGGTCTTTGCCAATGCACAGCTCTTCTGTATCTGGACTTCCATGCTGGGTTTGGGGCATAGACATTCACCAGAAACACTCATTTTGTTTGCAATCATACTGAGATTAAAAGAAGTTACATAAAAAAACAAATGCTTCTCCTACGAATGGCACATATGCCAAATATTCATCTGAAAGGCAAAGAACCCTAAAAGCCTGAATTAATGAAAGCTAAAGTTAAGAACTATTCTAGGAGAATGGTGGTTGAGATCAAGCAGTACCAAGCATTGATATTTTGGAACAGTCTTGCCAGGTCATGGCGATTTTGCATCTCCAAGTAATTCTGGACCATTAATTAGGGGACTTGTGTTCTAGTCCAGCTCTGCATCTGGTCTGTGGTAAGAGTTTAAGAATCTCATTTAACTTCTAAGAAACTTAAATTCTTTATCTGCACAAAGTGGGTATTGGTTTTAAAAAATCCTGTGGTCCTTTCCAAAACTAAAATTCGTATGAATTCGGGAAGATACAGTTGTATTCTTTTTTTCTTTTAGAAATATAAGGTAAATAACATATTTGCTAAGGAGACAAGTAGTGTGTGGGAGAGGTGAGTGTGTTTGAGTATTTTTACCTCAGTTTGTAGCCTTATCTGTGGCTCAGTGCCTTGCCATCATCCACATGTTAAAGAGATTAGTGTGGATTACAAGATTATATAGAATCCTATCATATCTACGCTCCAGAGTTGTCATCTACCTCCTGCTGTAAATCTGCATCTTGGATTCTAGGATACTGAACTACGTATGGTTTCTTGAATGTGCAGTTCTGTTTTCCTTGGTTGTCAATACCCTTCTTCACCACCCCTGTTAACCTAAAAAATTTCTATTTATAATCAAAAGCCCAGTTCAAGCAAGAACTCTTCTGCTGTCAGTCACTCTCTCCTCTGTCCTAGCCCTTTGCCTCATCCTGCTCTTTATTTATCACAGTTATCATATTTGATTTTCTATGAAATAAGACTCATGTTATTTACATTACCTAACGCTATGCTTTTTACATAAATAAGGAAATGCTAAGTATGAATGAAATTTAAATCCTTGAACTTTATGATTTTTTAATTAACATAATTTAAATGTGCTAATTTTGTTCTAACTTAAACTCGTTTGAGAATATCTCTAGGATTTGTTATATTAGTTTAGTAATTTCAAACAGCCAATACTGTTTATGACTGTTAAGTATCAGCTATTAGAATCAAAATTACAACACTAGTAAGTGCATTTTATACTATAACAGGAAGAGAAAGCATCACATATTTCCTCAGTAATCTCATAATATGAATAAATATCCAAAATTCTTAATCCATAGCCAAAAATTTACAAAGATGATCAAACTTTATAATGGGACAATTAAAACAAATTTTCTAAGCTTCTCTTACAAATGTCACATCAGTAGTTTTAGATTCCATAATTTATGGATTTTCAGTATTGGCTCATGACTCATATGCCCAGTGAAATTTCTAGGTTGCTTTTTTTTTTTTAATCACATAGTCACTAAGTATCTCAAAAAAACCAAATATATACTTACTAAATGAGGAACTGTTTCAAAAATTATGGATATTGTACTGTGACTTTTAAAATTTTGCTTACTTTTATATATTTAATTTTTACTTATTTGTGTGTTTTCCTATAGTTAAACTACGAGCAGGATCAAGTCATATCCTCTTATAACTATAGGCATAATTTCAGAGAAAATGAAAAGAATTGATGGTATTGGGAGAGTTACAAATATGTGTTTCCTCTCTTTTGTACTACAGGTAAACAAAGTAGAATTGCTCACTCTTTCCTTTGTGACTCTACTGAATACTGTACATTTTTCTATTTTTATGCTTTAATTCATGATTCTGATTGTATGTTTCATGTATCTGCCTTCCTTCTAAAGAAAGATTGTAGGAAATAATTGTCTCTTTATTGCTACTAGCCAGCACTGGGCTAGGTAAATAGGAGATAGATAATAAGTGAAGAGATAAATGTATGGATGGACAGATAGATGGATGGTTTAGTGTATGATTGAATGACTCATGACAGAAATGAATGACTGCTCACATGACCAAGGCACAAGAGTCTTTTAAGGGGTGGCTGACTAGCTGGTAATATATATAGCATATCAGAGTCTCTGTGTTCACAATACTTCAGGTTTCATTTTTAGTTTTTCAATCCTTCCTGATGGTCTCAGACTAGCCAAGCTCATAAAAGCTAATGCAAAACTGAATGCTAATTTAATAACTTACAAAAAGGAATATAACTGCTAAGCAGACAAGATTTATAGTTTCCTTGACCAACTTATGTTCTTTGCAGGAAATCACATGGGAAGCCAAAATATAAAGACAAGCTTGCTTACTACGTATAAAGAATTAGTACAAAGAGCATAAGGCAAATGATTATAGTGTCAAATGATGTCATGCCAACGAACACATTAGAGTTGACACTGTGATTCTGATCAACTCACTTTCCAATTCTCAGTTTGCACCAAATGTCATGGCAGCATTCGTTTTCTTTAATATGTTGCTCAGAAATGTAGGGGTTTTTTGGTCTAAAAATAGCACATCATCACAAGAAACACTGAAAAATATAACTTATCTGAATGTTAGGAAAACAACTAAAAATCTGCACACCCAAGATAGAATTTATCTTCAAAAGGTCAAAAGAAAGGCTCAATTTAATTGGTGGAGGAGACTCTCAGTACAGTCAATTATCTGATATACATT